GTGGAATAAAAAAGACTGATCAGAGAAGGTGCAGGCGCTGAAAGAAGACGAAACGAGAGCAAAGTTAGCTGTAGCCAAATAAAGTGCACTCTGTGAACACTGGGAACAGCCGTGGCGCCAATAATCGCCTGATCGCAAAGATGGTTGATCGAGAAAAAGTTCAGAATCGATTCAATTGAAGACTGTTGCCTTAGGACTGATTCGAGAGGACGCACGACAGACTGGTCTTGTTAAAAACAGACTCAGGCAGTACTCGATGCAGAGAGAACGGTGCACACTGTGCGCACAGTGTGCAGACACTCACCAGCTGATTACTTCCTCATCTGTCTTCGCCAGCCAAATGAGAGCGTCATAAATCTTATCTAGACTAATTATGTCAATGCAAGATTGATTGCACACATACACACATACACTCTCCGATGAAGCCACTGTGCAGAGCTAGTGTGATTTTGTCGCAACAGAGTTACTAGATACTATCAGTACAGCTACTTCTACGCTGATACTGCCAGGCGATGCTTTCGGGACGAGTGATCACAGGCTGATGATCAACGATGGTGATGATGATCAGTGATTCAGTGCTGTTGGCAGTCACACTGCGAAGGTAGAGGGGGTGAGTATCGGTGCTGTGGCGGTGATCATCAGTAAGCAACAAAAAGAGAGGATGGCGGCAGCGTTTTAGACTACGACGACGTCGACGTCGGCTGTCCGTGTCTGTGTCCACCACTGCCAGCCACTACCAGCGGCACTACCTACTGCAGTGAACTACGACCTGTGAACTCATTTGTTTTCCTGCTCTAATGAGGCAGTGTCAATGTGTGATGACGATGTGTCTTAGTGTGTCTGTGCACTCAACTCAAGCAGGCAGGCAGGAGGAAAGCCTAGCTGCAGAACCCAGCTGCTAATGGATGGATGGATGGATGAGGCCTGACCGCGGTCAGCGTAGACTGACAGGGCAGACGGGCCAAATGACCAAGACGGGAGGCGTACTGCCTCTTTCGCTCACTCTGCGGACTACCTTTCTTGAGCGGCACTCTCGGCGCTCCTTTTTACTCTGTCGGCTCTCTTCCCTCGGTCGTTGCCGGCCCCTTGGTGGTAGTGGTGGTGGTAGTGTCTGTCTGTCTCTCTCACTATGTGTGTATGAGTTGTCTGGATGAGACCTGCACGCTGATTACCTGGCGCCATTGACTCGACACTGCCTGCCATCAGCTTTGAGGACCACCGACAGCAGCAAGAGCAGCAGCAGTGGCTGCAGTCGTAACAAGACCAAGCAAACAAGTGGTCGTCGCAAAAAAAAGCGCTTTGTTTTGCACACGCAACTTCACTCTACAGAATTAGAGGCCAGAATTAGTAATGCACTACCCGCACTAAGGGGGAGAGTGAGAGAGAGAGAGAGAGAGTTGCCTGGGCCGTCGCCGATCGGCATCGTTTCTCAACCCGATTATTATCGTAATCACGGCCCATCATGGCCCATTAGAAACAATTAAGCCTTCTACCAGCGGCTGGCGTTGTAGTGGCCAGTTTTGTTGGCCAATTTACTCGCTCTCGTCGCCATTTAGAGCGCCATTGTTTGCTTTGCCTCTCTTTCACTTCTCTCTTCACCTTTTGCTGGTGATGCTTGAGGAGAGGAGAGGAAGTTCCGCACGCCAAGCGTTATACTTCTAATGGGTCGTTTAAACAAACAAACAAACATTGAGGTGACAATGGAATCCTTTGAGGATGCGCCTCAGTGATGACAATTCAAAGTTGTGATTGCCAGTCAGCGTGTCGGTGCTCTATGACCAGGAACTTGCACGTTTAGTCAAAGAAGTTTCTGTTTCATACTTTTTCCTGCTGACCGGCGTGTGTCTGCGCCTGTCACTGGCGATCGACAGGCGGCAAGGACTCGTTACCGTTGATTAGTGAAGCCCGTGCCGCAGTCTGTGAAGCCTTGATTGCCCAGTACTCATGCTCAAGGCCGCTCGCTTGCTGGGCCCGACTGACAACTAGACCGTCTACCTGGCCATTTTCTCCCTTTCCTTTGTTTCAGTCTATTGCCGCCGTTCAATTAATACTGCAGTACTGTCTGCCGCAGACAAACGGGTTTGTTTGTTTGTCAGATTGTGCTTTCAAAACACACACACATTCACTTCAAAGAGACAGTGCGACTGTTTCTTCTTCTTCTACTACTTCTTCAGTCTCACTCAATTAGACACGATTCTGCAATGAACTGCAATCACTTTCTCGGCAAGAGACCAGCTTCGGCTGGCTTTTGCAGAATTAGCGGTACTTTCGCTTTCGCATGCAGTCAACTACCGATTGAGGAAGAAACAGACTGAAACTGCTGCCGCCAAACACAATCCCTCTACCCATGGGCACAGCAGAAGACGACGGTGCTTCACTTGTCTCCTNTTACAGATTGAGGAAGAAACAGACTGAAACTGCTGCCGCCAAACACAATGCCCCTCTACCCATGGGCACAGCAGAAGACGACGGTGCTTCACTTGTCTCCTGTAAAAGTGTCACCCGAGCGATTCTCTTTTCTTCTCTTCTTCCCTTCTTGTCATTTTTCCCACCAACTCATCGTCATGTCAGTATTTTGTTTGTCAGTGAGCAAACTNATGTCACCCGAGCAATTCTCTTTTCCTCTCTTCTTCCCTTCTTGTCATTTTTCCCACCAACTCATCGTCATGTCAGTATTTTGTTTGTCAGTGAGCAAACTGTCTCGTTCTGGCTCTCTCAATTTGCATCGTAACGCTGTGGTGGGCAGTGCACACTGCACCAAAGAGTGTGTCGAGTGAAAGCAATCAAATTGGCGTCAAATTCTCGCTCTCATTCTCTCTTTCCTCAGTCTCAGCTGGCTCTCCAGAAAAGTTTGAATGATGGAGCTGCATCGATGGAGCACTTCATTTTGGGAGAGAACTCGACTGCAACTCAAGTCAGGATGGCTTCTCTGTTTACACTCGATCGCCACCGCTGTGCAATCAATCATCGCTCTGCACAAATATGTCCGCATTACTCGGCCATTTCCAATACTCGTCCAAGTAACTGACTGCCTTCTCCATCACGCTTAAACTCAATTCCACAGTGATGGCGATGCTGTGATGGAGACTGCACCAGACACACTCCGATTCCACAGTCATTTTGCAAGAGCAACAGTCAAGTGAAGTACGGTGAAGTGAAGAAGAACGTTTCAATCAAAAATCCCATCACTCAAGCTGTATGCAAATACAGGCAATTAGCAGGCTTGCTCTTCTCAGCTTGCGGTGATTTGTAGAGCGCATTTGCGCATTTGCAAGCAGATCGACTGACTCACACTGAGGAGACTTTGGACATCCACACTTGCCGATCATTGGCCAGACAGCTACTCAGCTACTCGACCTGGCAGACACTGCTGCCTCATCAACAGCAGAATTTCGGTTCCAGCTTGCGTAATAGGGCAATTAAATTGTTTGCTCAAATCGATCATTTCGCAAGTTGGTCGCAGTACACAGCTACTGTTGCCCCTCTTTTCTCGTTTTCTCCCTCTCCAAAATGAAACAATCAGCCGGTAGTGATTTACTTGTGCCCCCAGTCATCAGCAGACAGAGCAGCAGCAGGCACTTTTGCATTGACGCCAAGAGGTAATAATGAGAAGCACTTCTTAATAGGGCACCTTAATGAAGCAATGCAATGCACTGGGGATTTGCTGCCGTACTGCTGCTTCTGCTACTGATGATTATGGTGATGGTGATGGCACTCAATGGTATAGCCATCTTGTTCTACAAAAAAAATGGGGAACAGAACAGAGTGGTGGTGACGATTCTAGTGCACTACCACAACCATCATCATCATCATCATCAGCTGCAGCAGCAGCAGGCACTGGCCGCATCGTGCACCGTTCACAGTAGCATCTTACTCTCTGCCGAAGAAGTACAGCAAGTGTGTGTGCAAAGAAAAGAGTAGCACAAGTGAAACCAAGTGTTTGTGTGAGACTGTCGTCGTCTTCTTCACTGCAGTGGCTGCCGTTCCCCGCCGCNATGGCGAGTCGTGATCGGTCGTTGGCGGGCGGAGATTGGCCAGCAGCTGAAGGAGCACTACTGCTGCTGCTGTTGTGAGCCTGCTGAAGCACATGGCTGCCATCGGCGCACTCGCCGACGAGAGCAGTGCTTCAGTATCCGCGCGAATGTCGACTGGAGTGAGTCTGCGTCCACACTGCTGCCGCCGATTTCCTCGACTTTGCATTTAGCTGCAGTCTAGCTCGAGTCTTCGAGTCGCACACTGCGCGCCCTTCTCAAGACGACTGCACACTCTCCGTCTATCTACTTCAATCTGCCACTTTATCTGATCTGATAAGGCACCTCAATCCGCACACTTGTTCACTCGGTGTGTCACTGAGAAAGAGAGACAGTTCCACTGGGCCAGCAGACCCGATGACTGTCGCCTAGCTCCCTCTTCAGTAGCCCCCGCATTTGTCGACACTTTGATTGCGTTTGTGTGATCCTAATCACGGTGTGCGCACCATCAGCACCGTATGATAATTACCAGTCTCATTGATCCTTATTATTATTATTATCGTCATTATTGTTGTTGTTGTGAAAACGTATAATTTCATCAATACCGCTATGATTACTGCATCGACGCCATTCACTGCTCCTGCTTCTTCTTCTTCTCCTAGAATCATCATCACACCATCATCAAGTTGTTGAATAACTGAGCCAGTGTCTGGGCGCGTTAATTGATTACTCCTCTCGCACTTAATTGCTCTACTCACTTTCACCGGTCAGTGACTGCGATTAGTGTGGACACATACCTTCACTGAGAGACTGGGTCATCCTTAGTCATTTCAGTTGACAGCCAGTACAGCTGCCATCCGGTGCTCTTTCTTCTCACTGCCGCATCACTCCTCCGTTTTCCCTGTGACACTTCCGTGCTGCCCAGTGCTCAGCACTAGACAGTGCGTCCATCAACCCCTTTTGCCCCCAACGGACACGGATACCGACACCACGCTGAACCTAACGGACAACTTCTCCACGTACCCCGGCATGGCGGGTACGGTGGACCTACTGGACCAGGATGTGAAGCAGCACCCTGCCTTCATGGACATCCACAACCCGGCGGCCGGTCTGGGCATGCAGCACCACCAGGCCTACTCGCAGCTGCGCTCCTCTTACGGCAACAGCCAAGCACATGACGCCTTCGCCAACCAGCAGAGAGCGCCTCTTGGCGGCTACTCCTTTGCAATGAACAACTCGCCACTGCACAACAACTACTCACACCCCGGCGGCAATCCGTACCTCGGATCGTACGCACCACCACCGCCCAACGTCACCTCCTGTGCGCCCTGTCCATCACCGCCGCGAGAGATTAAAAATGAGCCAAGTAAGTGCCTACCCACCATCCTAGTGTGACCTTCTACCACTGCCTATTACGGCTCTCTTCTACTACTTCTTCTTCAAATCGGCCGCTAGTCGCGCCTCTCAGCGCCTCTCAAACTGACCATCGCCAAACAGCTGTCACCCAGACAGACAGTCGGAGACAGACAGGCAATCCTTGTTTGAGACCCACTCTATATGAGTAGACGGTACTGTCCGCCTTCTAACGGGCCTTTCCCAAATGTGTCCATCTCCGACAGTACAACAACATGACAGCAGTTGCACTTGCTGTGCCCCTGCACCGACTGCTGCTGCTGCACGTGGTGTTATCAGCGCCGGTGCCGGCAGAAAAGGCGTCTTTAGTACAGCGAATCACCGCAAATCAAAGTCTTCACCGCATTTACTCTTTGTGTCTTTTGCGAATGGTGAACAGGCCGGTGAAATCAGTGAATCGACAGAGCCAGTGAATGGGCGCACAGAAAACGGAAAACACTCAGCCCATTGTTCCCAGGCGATCTTTCGGTGATTTCACTACTTGGTCATGCTTGGCAAGACACATCGAGAGAGAGAGAGAGAGTGAGAGAGAGAGAGAGAGAGCTACTGGTCATCCCTCGCTCACTGCCAGCGGACCTGGCATGCCTCGGAAGTGAGTGCTTACTATGGCCAGTGAGAGTGTTGACGCTGAGACACTCTCGCACAGTAGTCCGAAGTCAAACGATAAGGAAATTTGAATTGTTTATATTTAGCGTTGACATCGTCGACGATTGTCAGCAGTGGCAAGTCAGTGGAGCACTGTGCTCCAGTGGTGCAGTGCACCAGTGCTACCTGGCCTGTTGCCGTCCCTGTTGCTTCGACTCACTCTCTCGCGGCAAACGCTTGAGCGTAATGGGTTTTCTACTATTATTTATGAGGATGACATTCAATGCAGCGTAACACGGACGAATGCAAGTCAGTATCTCTGCCACTGCTCTGCCTGCTAGGTAGTCAGCAGTTTATGCTTACTGCTCACTGCTTTTTTTTGCTTTTGGCTGCCACCGAAGCTATCCTTGCGTGGAATGGTGCTTATATCTTTATTGGACAAGAAAACGTACACACAGACACGCACATCCTTGCCACAAAGATCTGCTTGACTTGGTTTGCTACTTTGCCAACTGCAACTTTGCTACTGCTTTCGCTCAGCTCCAGCCGACACACACGGCGTTCTCTCCACTCGTCGACTACTGCTGTTACACTTAGATTTATTTGGAAAAGCAGCCACTTTCTGCTTTCCCCCACTTTTCCCTCCCCCACTGAGCAAAGACAAAGCTTTCGCTCTGTCTTCCAATAATGATAGGTGTCTTGATTGGCTGCACTAGTGCTACTGCTGCTGCTGCTTCTGTTTGTTTGTTTGCTTAAGTCTGGGCTTTATGCAAATCAGAGTGCCGATGACATAACACCAAATTAATGCGCGACCCACTCGACCATCACCGAGCGGCGGCGACGGCAGTAGCAGGTTGAGCAAGTGCACCTTGGGCCTTGTGGTGGTGATGCACCTGACTGCATCGAAGCTGATGAGTCTTTCTAAAAACAGTAGTCGCAACAGCAGCAGCAGCAGCAGTCACTCGTCAGTCAAACAATTTTTCCAACTGCGGACAGTTTCCTCGTCTGGATGTGTGCATCTTTTGACATTGCCCAGATGACATCAAGGAAAGTGCTTCTCTATCTCCTGAGTGCCTCTTTCCCTTCGGCTGTCTGGTCGTGTGGCCAAGTGCCGCGGCAGCGACGGCGGCTGCGAGGGCAGAAGCAGCAGTGTCGGCACTTGCTGTCAAATCGATCAAGCTGATCACGAGAACATCGCCGTACTCTTCCTTCGCAGCTCTGTCAGCAGTGCCTTACCTTGCTTTGCCTAACTTTACCTGTCTGAACAGTTGTTGTTCTCTTCCGTTTTGGTGCGAATTAGCGAGCAGTGGCTGCAGTAGTCCAAGCAAGAGAAAGAGCAAAGGAGACTTGTGGAAAGCAAAGGCAAGACTGATTCGGCGGCGGTGGCGGCGACGGCAGACAGGCGTCTCGCTGGACGAGCAGCATATTCTCTCGAAGTGGCCATCTATTGTTTCGCCATCTCGGCCCCGATCCGGCCGTCACTGGCTTGGCCTCTGTCTTTGGCTGCTTTTCTTTTTCTTCTGTGTTTGAGTTGAGAGATTCACGCGAAATTTGCTTTTTACGCGATTTGTCTGCATTTACCACAGGCAACTCTCTACAGTCTTGCACTTCGCCGAAGAAGAAGAAGAAGAAGTGCCGCCACAAAGCAGAGCACTACCACCATCATATATCGATGCAAATTGATCCATCTCTGCTGTTGATCTGAGCAAATTTATTATTCTTTTCTCCCTCGCACAAACAAAGCAAAGCGAAATGAAGTGAAGGCTTCACGCCTTAACTTGTGCACTGTTCTCAGGCATATTATGCAAATGGACCCCAATCTCTTTTGTGGTAATTGTTAGAACACCATAACCATAAACAGCAGCAGCAACAACGGCAGCAGTCGTTTTTATGACTTGTTCACCATTTGCAGCTAAACAGTGATGCAGTTCGCAATATTACCGTAGACCCACCGCGATAGATCACAGGACTGCTCACTGCTCAGGTGATGGCCTCTAGCAAGGTGGAAAAAAGAGCTCTGAAAAACAACAACAACAAGGATGTGCTGATCGGAGATTGGAACTTCTGAAGCTCATCTGACGTACATCCAGTGCTCACCCAAACTGACTGACTGTTTGCTGGTTGACTGTTCAATGTCTTGTTGAGACCAGTGACTGTGCTGCACTGTGTCCATTGACATTTGTTTTGAGCCAAACTTGATTGATGTCTATGTGCTGGTGATGGAGAGAGAGAGAGAGAGAGTTGCTAAGCAAGACAGTTGCTGTTGCTGCTGCTGCTGCTGTTGATGCTGCAACTTGGTTCGTCCTCTGCTGGCTCTAGCTGTCTGGCTGCTGCCGCAGTTTGCCAGTTGAGTCGCGACAAGCACAACCAAGAGAGTTGCTCTCTCACTGTACAGCCATCTAATAGATTAAATGACAGCTAATTATAGCTTACCGACTTTCCAATGCTCAATCATTAACCGTAGGCAAGAAAGTTCACTCCGACGGTGCTGCTGGTGGTGCTGGTGGAGAAGAAGATACAGTAGAGGGAGAGAGAGAAAGATGAAGCCGGTGGCAGTGTTGCTCACCGTTTGCTTACATAAGACCTGCCAGTGACTTCAACTCTGCTGACCATATGAAGAAGGTAGAAGCTGTTTGCTTCATTTCTGGTTAGCATGTCGGTTTATCACGGTGCTGGTGTCAGTGATGAGGCGGACGATTGATTGACTCTTGGTGTTTTCCTTCTTTACTTCTAATGCCGTCATCCAAGCATCCTCATCAAGCATTTCTAATTTTAATTCATTTCATTTCACTTTCTTTTCCTCAACTAATGATCTTTTTTTGTTCCCTTTCTTCCTGCAGATAAAAACAGCAGCGGCATTGACGAGTCCCCCACCATTCGAGTGAATGGCAAGGGAAAGAAGATGCGCAAACCTCGCACCATATACTCCAGCCTCCAGTTGCAACAGCTGAATCGAAGATTTCAGCGGACACAGTACCTAGCACTACCAGAACGCGCTGAGCTGGCTGCCTCTCTTGGCCTCACTCAAACACAGGTAAGCTTTCAGAAATAATGGAATTGCTTAGAGGACAGTAGTTGATTGATTTGTGTACCACCGAGTGACGATGAGGTGCCAAGTGCCTCTGGTACACATTTTCTAACACCGGGGACAAATTGCCATTTTGCAGTCTGCGCAGTGAGTGGTAATCGATGCAGTGATAAGAATGTGTCAATGTGACTGTCTCTGTGTGTGCCTGCAAACCTCACAATCTCTGCTTTTTCCCGTTTATCGTTTGCCCCTTCTTCTCAGGCACTGCTCTCTTTCTCTTTCTTTCTCTCTCTCTCTCATCTACTGCTGGCCACGAAGACAATGACGTCCAGTGTTGGTGGACGTGTCGAGCCACTGGCTTTGGCCTTTGTTGTCAAGTGTTGACTTGTTAATGCACTGCTTGTCGAGGCCATTCATTAGGTCTCCCATTACGAACTATTGTCATTGTCATTAGATACTAAACAAACAGTACTTGAGCGAGGAGAGAGCGCATAGGAGAGGAGAATGCTAATGCTGATCTCAGGACAGGCAAAGGAAGAGGGGAGAAGTAAGAATAAAGAATGCTAATACCTGCAGACTGGAGCATAGACAAGCACGTTAGGACGCTGAACTGGACAGTGAAAGGAATGACAAGCGCAGCACGACAGTCTGGCCCTTAAGATTTACCAACTTGTGCGCTGTGTGAGGAGCACTGAGTTCTGTCAGCAAACACCTCCACTCTGCAGCAGTCACTAATGGACATGTCTATTAGCGGGCATACTCACTTCTCCACCATCGCACGGACACATCATCCACCCTAGTTCAACGCTTTTTCTTAATTATTTGACTTGCAACGACACCATTGACGCAACGTCTCATTTGCTGTTCATCATCAGTTTGTCTGCTCTCGAATTCTCATTACCCTATTTACCCTTTCTTCTTTTTTCCTCTTCGTGTCAAAGTCAATTATCAAGCTTGACAAGAAATCAACTTGAGCACTATGACCTTCTGATTGACAACAAACATTGACGGTACATTTCACTAATTGTTAGTCGCAGTTTTGAGGAAGCCACTGAGCACTGGAAAACTGTAAGGCACTTTGTTTTGTTTTCGATGCTAATGTTTTGAAGCAGTGATGAGGTTTACCCTCAACCCTGAGAGGTAATTAACTCGATGTGAAGGATGCTCTACCAAAAAGTGTGATGATACTGCTACCTGTAGTTAACATTAATTAGTATTATTTAAGAGGAAATATTAATTAGCAAAAAACAGTTTGCACCAAAGAGCAGACTTTACAACTGTTGGTCTTCTTCACTTTGCCGGTCACCCCTCTCTCCTTTCTCTACCACTTAGCAGCACTTCTTTAGAAGCCTCTTTCTTTTTTTCTGTAAGTAACAACCAGAGAGGGTGCAAGGCGTCAGGCGATAATTAGCGTCCAGTCCATTTAATTGCAGTTGTTAGTCGTGGTGTATATCTGCTGTGATTTAATTATCCAAAGACTCGTGATTCATTGTCTGCGGACGGGAAGTTAAGTGCTTGTGGGTATTGAGGAGCTCCAGTCTTGACAGTGTTGGTTTGTTTGTTTGCGTTTGTCCCAGCGACGACAAGTGGAGATCGGTTCAGTGGCGTAAACATGCGGAACAAGCGGGACAGCTCTGGAGCACAAGGAGAGAGACAGGGACATCTGCATGCAGTGGAAAACCTCTAAGAGAGTGCCAGTGCCAAGTGCCTTGTAATTACCAGCTGGAGCACCAGTGGAGCCCATAATTAGCCTGGAACGCAGTATAGAGATGTAAGCTGGCAAGTGGAGCGGCAGTCGGTAGTCAGAGATCGAACAGATTCAGCGAACGGTCGAAATGCAGCTACCTTTTTCTGTTCAAGCTGCACTGCTACTGCTGGGCAAGTCGTACCAGACCTTTCCACACAACGACGACGACGACGACGTTCTGGCGGACAGATGGAGATTCCCACTGAACAAATCGTCATGCAAATACATGCGAGCACACCTCTCTATCCTTTGGCATTTGCATGTGCGTGAGTCAATGCAGCAAAAAAGTAGATTAAATTAATTTTCCCTGTCACCATGCCTGTTCTACTGGCGAGGCAAATACAAACACACAGATCGAGAGAAAGAGAGCAGAAAACCAGCAGGCTACCTAACAATAGATCGATATGATCGAACCGATGCTGCTGCTTCTGCTGCCGATACAAGCATATCCAATTGGCCCATTGCTCGCTTGATTCCGGTGAGCATTCATGCACTTCTCATCTGTTTCTCTCCTTTTGCTGTTTGCCCACCAACTGCCCAGTACATCGATGGCATGCGAATTTGCAATTAACGGCGATGCAAGAGACAATCAAATGCTGATGCTGCTGCTGCCTCCAGAGACTGCGTCTCAATGGACAGCAAGGGATGGATTCCATGCCGATCTACTTGGTTGGTTGCCACCGGCGGTGGCGGCGGCGGCTTTGCTGGCGACGACCACTTCATGTCAAGCAAATGAAGCCATTATGCGGCGAGATATGTTTGCATCCTCGCTATAGGCTGTTATGCTCAGTGGTGGTGAGGATATTGCAAACAAGCCCGCCTGACGGTGAGCATCTATTTGCGTTCGATGAGGTGCGATCTCGGCACGATCAGTCTTAGCTGATGCCTTCTGCCTTTTGCTTCGGTGAATGAACAAATGAGTGAATGGCCGACTACGACTGCACTGCTGATTTTCTCAATGCACAGTCCGAAATTGTGCGCCGTTTTAAGGAGTTAGAGAGTTGAGCAGTGTTGGCCAGTTGATCGTCCAAGTGGAAGTGGAGTTCAGCTTAGTTCAGCGAAGTGGAGTGAATACGAGGACAAGAGCATATATCTGCAGTGTCCGTATCGATGTGCAATTAGAGGTGATCGGCACGACAGGGCACTCACTGCTGCCGTAGTGCTGCGCTGAAGAAGAAGAAAGTACTCGTGCAAGAGGTGGTGAGTGACACTATTTTGGTCCTCCACTTGAGGAAATTGACTGCTGCCGCCGATCGACTACTGCCGCTGGTGAGTGAGCGTGTGTATGTTTGTGTGTTTGTGTTCCCGCATGACTTTCGCCGCTCTGGCGCCTTCACATCGTCATTCGGTGGTGCACATTCGCTTCCTCCTTGGCCACCTTGTGCAGCACAGTGCCACTGCTTACTTTCTTACCTGCCTGCCAGTCTTCCAGTCTGCCTCCCTCGATCTGCACTATTTCCCTCGTCGCCTGGCGCGAGAGCTTTGTTTCTGCTCACTCGTTTTCACACAAGCACAAACATACACACACACACAGCCACACTTACTGCATTGTCTCACCTTGTCTTTGGTGTGTTGATTTATTCGAAATCAATCAGTAGTCGCCTCGATAGAGTTGGCAAGTGCTTCACTCTTCAGCAGTGCTGCCATGGCTTCACTTGCAGTGCACTACAATTTACAATTTTTCTCCACCTGACTTCACTTTCGCTCAGTGCCACCAATATGGTTATCCATGCTTAGGCAGTTAGGCTAGCTAGTCTACCTGACTGCCCCTCTCTTACACCAGCCACCGGGCATAGTCGCGACATTAGGTCGTCGTCGCCGTCGTTTTTGTCGGCAGCAACAACAACAGCTTTCTCTCTGGACTGACTCTGACTCCTCTGGTCGATGTGCATAAATTAGCTGAGCGCAGTGCAAGTTAGCAGGTAAAAGTTTTTTTAAAAAGATGCACAGCAACAGATGCAGACGTATATGAGCTGTACCTGTGAGCCAAAGAGTGTGCAGCGCGATTCGTCTGCTGTGTCTCATTAGAAGATCATTAGTCATCTAAGCAAACAAGTGCCAACAAAGATAGATTGCTCAAAAGAAGAGAGCAAGAGAGGAAAAAGAATCGCACCACTGAAAAGTGAAACTTTTACAAATTGAGGCATCTCGGGATGCAGCAGAGGCAGCCGAAATTCGAGTCATTTATTATCGACTTTAAGATTTAAGGTGTGGGTTATGTGACGAGGAGCTGGCCTCTTTGCAAAGCTCCTCTCTTTTCTTCTGCAATTCTTCAGTTCACCGTAGTCCAGAGAGGTTTTCAGTTTGGCTTTCTTCTGCTTCTTCAACTCTCTTTCTGCCAAGCCTCCTCCGAACTGCAACTCTCCTCTCAGTTGTTCAGTTGCAGCATCAGGCGGCAATGAAAGGCTCGCCTGTGAATGAAGCATCAGCATCAGCATCTCGTGGCCAGGCACTCGTTTGCCTTGGCATCCTCTTGCCGCAAGCCGAGCCACCGAGGCAGTCGACTGTTCAGTCGCTGTTGCTGTTGTCGCTGTTGCACTCCTGTCCGCACTGTCTCGTCCGTACTCCCAGGCTGCAAAGCTAAAATCAGTATGTGTGTGTGAGCGTCTGTGGAAGCATTGAAGTTGCCCATTGTCAAAGTTGGCGATGCCTGGCCGCCACTGCAGACCGCTCAACGCAAGACTTTAGGCGCAACAAAGAGATCGCTCTGTCTGTCTGTGTGTAGGGGATGTGCTGAGCAGTGTTGGCCAGTCTTTATTTCTCTCTCTTTCTCTCTCATTGCCTTTCGATTTTAAAAAACAAACTCTCAATCGTTACCGTCCACTCGTTTCACAGTGGGCATCTCGCTGTCCGCGAGGTGCACTTTGTTCTTGCCTGCGCCCCTCTACCGCGTTCGTGGCCACTATCGCCACCATCACCACCACCGCCATCATCATAAGCATCAGCGCAGACACCGCAGCTAGCACCAAAATCAACAGCAGCAGTACTAGCTCCTTTGCTTGCCCCCAGAAGAGAGCTGAGAGCCTTGCTTTGTTTTAGGAAGCTCTCCTCGCACATACTGATCGGCCGTTTTTGCCAGTCTTCGCAGCAGGCTGCACGTAGCCATTATCAAGTTGGCGACGCACTCAACTCTTTCCCTTCGCTTGCTCAGTCTCTCTCACTAGTCTGTGGCTGCCTTTGCCTTGCTTTGATTCTTTTTGCCCACTACTTCTAACAGCCTTTCGACTGACTCGTTCGCCCGAGGTTAAATGGCGGCACTCTCTTCTAAATGCTTTGCACTGAAGCAGTATGGAATATCAGGCAGACTTTTTTCACACATTAAGAACAAAAAAGCACACTGGCACATGGTTTTACCAGGGCCCGTATGGCCTGGCAGACTCCAACTGACTAGTGCTGCACATTTGCATGCTTCACCTGCATGCAACGACACGTGGTAATTAAGAGCGCAATTGCAAAACAAACACTATGTTGCTGTTGTTTACGCACTCTTGGTAATTAATTAGTCGCAGACAAACACACAAACACACACACCGACCATCTGACTGACTGACTGGGTCCGAGTGACTATCAATCACACGCACACAGACACAACTGTTGAGAGACACTACTTCAGGAAAGCAGGAAAGCTGAAAAGTTCAAAGGGAACGAAGCGGTGCCAGCAGACAGTGGCGGTCAGCGGTGAGATGATTCCACTGGAAAGAGAGACTTTGATTACCTGGCAGGTTTCGCTCGAGTTGCCTCTCCGCCACCACCACAACCACTGGGGTCCACTGGGTCGTTTCGGAGAGGGAGTTCGGCAACAGTTGTGCCCTTCAGCTGGTCAGTGGGCGGACAGTGCAGTGCCGAACCATCGATTGCTGGCAAGTGATGTCCATGGCGACGGCACTTTGCCTGCAGAGTGACATTGGCAAGGTAGTGTCAAGCGCAGTACACCGAGTGCTGGTACTTCGACGCAGTCACTCAGAGTCAGAGTTAGTCAGTCAGTTACATTGCACGCAATCATTCGTTCATGAGCGGACATGGATCACTGGACATTGGACATGCTGCTACTGCTGCAACACTACTAAAGACACAACACTGTAGTCGTAGTCCTGCGTCTGTGTGCATGTGTACAGCAGGGCTGTTCACTCGTGACTGTCACTCCAACGCCAGCCATTTCCTCTTTTCAGATGATTTTTATCATGATTCATCATTGAACATTCACTAACCGGCACTTTCCTTTTCTTTCTTTCTTCTTTTTCTTCTGAATAAACAGGTGAAAATTTGGTTCCAAAATCGGCGAAGCAAGTACAAGAAAATGCTCAAATCGACGGGACCAGTGGGCAGTGGACCGAACGGAGGACCGCCGACGAATGGCGGGGGAAACTCAAATCTAGGTCATCCGCCTAGTGCCACCACACCGCAGACGCCACCGGAGACGCCGGAGACGCACTCGCCACCGAGCGTCGGTCCACCCTCGCTCCTGTCCGGATCGTCGGGCGGCGGGGGAGGGGGCAATGGCTCCCTGGGCGGCAATGGCCAGCAAAACTCGTCCCTCTCCAGTGCAGTCAGTCCGCCGGCGATGAGTCCACCAATTACCTCATGGGACATGGGCCATGCACACGCAAAAGCAGCTGCCAACATGTCCAACAGCTACATGCCTCAGTACTGGGGACCATACCACCACCACGGCCATGACTCCTCCATAAACCAGCAACTGCTGACGTAATCGAAGCCATCTGCCGAGATCTGTCACCCCCATCACCACCATCACTAGCGGTATCGATCAGACAGCGTCAGCAGCGGCGGTGGCAGGAAGAGTCTGCGTCTGCCCCTTCATTTCCGATCATCAAGCGACCATGGCCAAGTGACTCGAGCACTGGTTCACTCATTTTCCCCTCCTCCCTCCTCAACTGGCTCCATCAACCTGAATCATATCACCGTCCAGCGTGGACACTCGGCGGCCTTGCCATTCGGATCGATCGAAGGACGGTGCAGTTCTCCTTCTGCACTGACGTCATGAGCTACTTCAAGTACTTTTCGAGCCGCTGAAGCGACTCTCTCGGCTGATGCGCATCTTTTTGTATAGTCTCTCTCTTCTCTTCTCTTTGCATCCTTTGAATCTCTCTTTTGCTCCCTGTCTCCACTGGCCTCGGTGCGATCGCCTCTGCCTGGTCTCACTCTCCTTTCCGTGCCCCCGCAGACACGCTCCGCTCATATCGACCTGTGTACATTAACCATTGAACCAATAGGATTTTGAAATCTCATTGCCGGTACGAAACCATTCAGACAGACGACACTCGTTTCCGCACGATTCACTCACTCATCTTGACGGACCAATGTACTTTATCTTTCTTTTTCCCTTCTTTGCTCTAATCTTTCTTTCTCTATGACCATTGCCTATTATTATTATTACCTTCCCCTTTCATAGTCTTGTTAGTGTTGTGTGCAAATAAACCGTTGAGCCCGTTCTCTGCGCTCTTCTCTTACTTGGTCTACTCATTAACTTATTTATTCTTGTAAATTGTACCCATCTATCTTTCTCACTCTCGTTCTAGAACTCTCAATCTTCTTGTGCAAACTTTCCTGACCAAACTGCTCTGTTACATACCGATAATAAATAACTATAAACCCCTTCAAAACATTCACAGTTAGTTGGTGCAGCTCTGTCAGATAAGGTTCTACGCTCTTCACAACTAAACCGATAACGACACAGAGTTGAGGTAATGATGACGATAATGCAGCCATTGCAGTGCCAGTGTCAAATCAATTGGCGGTGCTCTGAGGAAAGTTTCCGTAGTGAGTGACTGCCAACCGACGATGAACACTACGCACACACATCACAAACATGACAAGCGTCGTGATGAAACACGCAAACGGTGATAGAAAGTGCGGACATTTTTTGCATCAAGGCTAGTTGGAGTCAGCGGTCGCATCCTTCTGGAGATTTCCTGGCAGCCTTGTGCATAAACAGCAGCAGCAGAAAAAGACAGCTGAAAGTGTATGTTTGATGGTGAGTTGCTTGTGAAGAGCAGCCTAGCATCATTGGCTTCAAGTATGTATCAGAAAAATGAGGATGATGATGGCAACGGCGAGATGATAATCGCTAGCTTTCTGCTTCGAGGATCTATTTGCCATACCTGATCTCAGCAACAGCACTTTTTTCAGCGTATCTGACATTGTTTGTTTTGACCAGCAAGACTGAGATGCACTAACAGCGATTTAGTTGTGTTCTTTGCACTGTGAGGATCAAGGCATCACTGACGGTTTCTAAGCGTTGACTCAAAGTTCCTCTAAATATTAAATGATGCTAATGCAGAAAACATATTAATAATTTAAGCAGTTTCTAGTTGCAAAGTACATTAACTTACAGCGAGCAGATGAAGATTTATAGCGGACAGTTAATTCGACTACTTATACCTCACTAATAGACAAATTAATTGCCCCCTTTCAGTCTAATACATCACAACGAAGGAACGATGTGGTGTTCAAAAAAGGTAAACAAGCACCAAAATAAGATGATTTTTTGATTAATTTTCTAGCTACCGGTTGGCGCAACACTGTTAATGCTGTGCCTCAGTAATGCCACCCAAAAATTCGATTCAGTCCTATTTGACACGTCCATTAAAAGCAGTGCTCATCACATGAATTTTCACTTCAAGACAAATGACGCCAACTCCGTTTCCCTTTTAAACCATTTGATTTTAGTCTTTGACATTAACAGCAGCAGTGTCGGAACTGGACTCTCAATCGAGTACATTCAACTGACTTCCTCTGACGGCAAAGGCTGTCAGGACAGCAGAGTTGAAAGCGCACGCACGGCACCGGTGGTTGGTGCTGCTGCTGGTGGCATGTGTCTCTTCTGGCAAGCACAGTTCAGCACTTCAGCTGGTCAGCTAAAGAGTGAGAGAGTGAGAGAGGGCTCCCAACAGCAGCAGCAGTGGAGTCATGGCAGTACCGATCGTGGCCAGTGCCGGATCAAAGTCGACTGGCACGATCAGCCGTCGGTGCATGTTCAATGGACAGCGCACAATTAGAGACCAATTATGAGCAACCACCAAAGTCATGATGTTCACCGTAGCCACTGACCAACAAAATAACATCGTCGCTGCAATCTGCTGCCACTGCGGCGGCCCACGCAGGCTACATCTTCAGTGTGTGTGTTTGCGGCACTGCAGTGAGCCTACAAAGTGAGGCGCATGACTCCAAGTCGGCGTGAGTCGGCTGCTGTTCAAAGTGCGTACAGTTTTTGAAAAGGCTTTACAGAGAGAAAGAGAAAAGGAAAGAAACTCCTGCCACGCACCAAATCGGCCCACTTTGGTGCCACTCATCAGCGATGGCGATTCGACGTGTGGGCGTCAGTCGCCCAAATGGCTTGTCTGTTTGTCGGTGGAGTTGTGTGGCTTGCAAGGCAGTCGCCTGCAGCCGCAGTCTGCTTGGATTACCTCTCCGATAACGGGCTGATGCACACTTTTTGCAGTGTTGCCTTTTTTCCCTGATTGCGTTTACGCTCAGTTAGAATCACTGCCTCTCACCAAATGTCCCTTGGCCGACAAATGGTTTTTTAATTAAAAGAATTCTGTCCACACTGGAATACTAATGCCTGCCTGCCTGCCTGTGTATGTTGGTCAGTCGAGAGGACTTGCACAACAACGCACTACTGTTCATTGCTCGACAAAAACAAAGGCCGATTGATGGAATAAGTTAATTTAGAATCAATTACCTGCATTACCACCGGCCTGAGTAAGACAAATTGTTTTGTCACTAGCTGTGGCAGCACTGTGGGCTATTAGTGAACTGCCATTCTCTCCCTCAAGCCCCCATCATCCTCTGTTGGCCATGCAAATGCCGTTCGTCTATGCAAATGCTCCAGTCACACTGGTTCCCGAGAGCATACACTGACCACTGCTGTATTGACAAATTTGTTCATCTCACTACACACAGCTCTAATTTGCATAAGTCATAACGTATGCATATCACTGGCAGTAAGAGAAAAGAAGAGAGATTTTTGGTGTTTTCAGTGATTACAACAACTGAAAAAATGTAGATGGCTGATGACCAGAGAGACCGGGGAGACTGCTGAGCCTCACAATTGCCACTGTCAACTTTAATTTTCAAAAAAAGGGGAAGTAATAGGAAGAGGAGGAGGTGAAGCTTGTTTGCATAAAGGCGCTAAACACAATGTACTGAAGAGCAAGTGTTTATAAAATATTCTACAAAAGCTGTAAAAAATAGTACCATTTTGAAGTCTGAAACTAGTGATTGTTGCCCAAAAGTACCATGATTGCCTGTAATTTGCGCAATTTAAACAGTCCAAGTGTGGCTGAGTAGTGTAGTTGCGGTAGTGTAGTGGTAGAGGGAAAACAAGAGCAATTTCCCGAGCACATAAAAGGCACTCATCGCCGCAGATATCCGATAATTGATTCTAATCGGGCAATTGTGGCCAAATAGCACATGGTTGAACATCTTTATCACCAGGCATCCTTTCTCTGGTGCCTGGTTGGTCTTTGTGTATCTTGCCGCATCTTTCAGAGGAAGCAGCACTAAACTCAAAACTTCTCTACAACAAAGCTGAAGTGGCACTATTAAACTAATTGCTTGTAAAAGCGTGCCCGTCTTACACTGGTGGCAATATCCGACTTTGTAAAACGCATCAAAGGATGCCGAGAGGTAAAGTGATGTGCTTGGCTTTGTTCAAAGTGTGCGGCTTATTGGAAAAAGGAGCTCATTCAACAATGTACGTCGTTTACCTGAGAGTACACCATACCTGACAAGTCTGATAAGAAGAGTCAAGGGTCATGCCATCTAATGATTAGATATTCCTATCTAGTAGACACAAGCGTTTTGATTGAGCATTGACCAACCATTAGCCGGTTAAATCATTACCAAACAATAAATGTCAATTATGCAGATTTGTTCAACACAATGAGGCTTTTTCTATTGACATGACCGTCTCTTTTTTCAGTTAGGGCGCCATAAAGCTTACCACTGCACAGTAGCGTTGTCTGCTCATTACGATGAATCCAAATGAAAACACACACCGACAACAAAACAGTGCAAAGGATAATTTCCTCTCCGTCCGTGGCAAGCTAATTCAATTTGGCTCTGTCATTAACGTAGCTGTTGCAGTTATTACTATTTTTTGCTTAATTGCCAGAGTAATAGTGCAGTTTGAAACAGTATGCTGCTCACCGTGTATGCAAAGTAGCAAAATGACTTCAGTGCGCATTGCTACCTTAGCACAACTTCCACTGACAACACGCCGTTAGGTCGAAACCGTAGGTGGAAGTGAAGAATTGAGCTTGTTGTTGCTGCTTCAGCCTTTCAGTTTTCGGCTGAGATGTGCCGTTGGTCTCACTCTGATTGGCGACTCAGTCCCTACCGCCATAGATTACTAGCTCGCTGGCCACTAGTCAGTGTATAATTGCCGAAGTCAATCGCTCAGAACCAACGGGCGACGGCGACACCTGACAGCACTTGTTGTTTCCTAATTGGAGCACTGTTCAAAACAGATACAAGGAAAACAGACTGACTTGCTAGACTGTGTTTGACAGCAAGCAAATTGTCACCTTTCAAATTGCCGTTTAAACACAGACAAACACAGCTGATAGCTGGCCATGAGGAGAAAGAGAGGGCGAGAGGCGCCGGCAAATTAGCGTAACTTAATTACAGCCAATTTGCCCAACTTAAAGACTTGCTGGGCGCTTCTGTGCGAGATGCAGATGAACG